CGCCCACTCCCAAATATATTTTCCATTCTTCGCTACTCGATAGGCTGTTGCCATTGCAATCTAAGTAGCAATATGAATGCTTTTGATTGCGACACCAAACTTAGTATTCAAACTGATGATAGAATTCGCGGCTTTGATGGAAATCAGATAGAAGATAACCGAAACCAGCCGAGAATCGCTGTAACCATGCAAGTGATGAAAAGAGGGACTGCTGACCAAAGTTGGTTCTGGAAAGCCCAAGCCCCGCAGGGCGTCGGCGATTCAGGTGGGCTTCCAATATCATTATGAGTCTCGAGGAAGTTTAGAAGTGTTCTTCCTTCTTCTACGGCTATTACTATGGTGAAGCCAGTGATGAGAACTCGTGAGATGAATCGGAGGATACGGATACGGCGCTTGAGTTTCTATAGGCCAATAACCTTAATTGTGAGCTCATACTATGAAACAATTTTGCTTAATTAATCTTGCTTTATCAGATCCTGATGAAGGAGACTTGTAGGTTGTGTACTGGATACAGGATTATAAGGATTGTTCGGCTCGAGGTGAGCCTCGTTAGTCAATCGACTATAATGAGTCCGCCATTTTGTCCACGATTCAGCCCCTACCGCCTTTTTCACACAAGATCTAAATCAGCTTGAAAGTACTCTGAAGCCTTTCCATGATCTTGAGAGTCTAGAGCTGTTATGTGACGGAATGAATCGACCAGTTCGAGGATTTGAAATGAGTAAGAGATTTTGGATTGGACTGTGGAAGGCAGCGCGATTAGCGCCAAATTTGAAGACTTTACATCTAGGATTGCTTACCGTCGGGTATTGTGATTTCGAGGCTTACGAATATGTGCCTCTCAGAAAGGTCTTGAGGAACTTTACCTAGCCTTCGTTGACTCGCTTACGACTCGATAACATGACCTTTATGCGAGAAAGATTTGACCGCTTTTCTCCTCAGGCACGCCTCTTCTCTGCGACATCTAACATTGTGTCATATTTATCTAATTCGAGGTTCGTTTCAGGGGTTATTTCAAGCTCTGAGAGAAGGCCTCAAGCTTGAAAGTTTTCGTATCGATGGTCAAACGCATTCATCCGTCGGTATAGAACTATGGTAGTGAGTATCTCGTTGTCAAATCACATTCAACTTCAATACTTATTAAACATTTTAGTCTCTTTTCGAAGGACAAAGAGGCTGTAGAATTCTCTGAACTTACTGAAACTAAGCTTCAATTTTATAAGGACAAAAAGAACAGAAAACCAGGAAAGTCGTGGCTACTAATGCAGGAAGACGGTCTCGCTGATGAACTGTCTGCCCGACTCTCGGCATTTTTTCTCAATAAAGGCGATTGGCCTAGTAAATTTATAAGTAAATTGGCGAAAGTAATTTTCTGTATTGGTAGGGTGGGAGAATGCGGTGGTCTGACTAATGAGCAGATGGGCGCCAGATGGGATGTTGAGCTAAATCAAGAGCTGCTAGATACTGACCTAGCCAGCTGGGCGGAGTTCGAAGGTGAACTAACCGAGCATATACACTGCTAGCAACCCTGCTAAGATACATTTATATATATATATTAATGCTCATACAGCTACTAATATAAGTATTCATATACCAACTCGTTCATATAACATTTTATCCCTAGAGTACTAATAAAGAACACCTCGCTTTATGAAAACCTTAACTAACAACTCAACAGATCATTAGAATCATTAAATTTTCAATCCCCTGAAAATCTCACAATCGACTGACTGAAATAAGTTTTCCTTCTTGATTTACTGAGATTCACAGGGATGTACGTATGTATACTCTAATTACATATATATTCTTTTTTTCTCAGACAAGGAAGCGCGATCTACTTTCCATCACACTCTCGTACCCGCCTGCCTCGTCTCATCTTCTCAAGGTTTCGAAGCAATCTCAATCTACATCTATATCACTCATTTCTTTATAACTATCACCTAAAGCTCAAAGCGTTATTCCAACTCCTTCTCGATTACACACTACAATCCTGTATGGACAAGGGAATTCACTCAAGGGAATTCACTTCAAGGAAATGACTTCAATACAATAACAACTGTATCAAAGGTATTTAAACAAATACAAAAAAAATTAGCTCTTTCAATGATACCTATATAAGACCTACTATTTCCCTCATTAGCTAGCTCCTTAAATTGAATACAAATAGACATTTAGGGGCCTATTTATAATAGGAACCACGTCTTTCGTATCTCTCTCAAACCAATAAATCCTTAATACTTTTCGCATAATACAATACAATACAATATCTATCCTACATGAGAGTATTCCCTATATCGATATTCTAATCTAATCTAATCTAATCTGATATAATCTAATCGAAAAACGCATATAGGTCTCCGAGTCTATATATAACAAAAATTAAAATAACAACTTCAACTAGGTATCTCGCGTAAAATCTTCTAGTACAGATGAACCTGGATATATGAGCACAGGCTATATAGGAATCCCCTTTATACAGATATATTTTTCAACCCTTCAAAATTTTATATAATGAAATTGATCTATATAGATATATCTTCATATAAGAGTATATAGTCCTAATTTTCCTAATACTCTTATAAAAATTGATAGGAATGGTTTAAGCTTTAGTTTATTATATAATGAATTTATAAATTATTTAATAAAAATAGAAAGGTTAAAGATATAAAATAAGGTTAAGAGTATAAAACGAGGCTAAATGTCAAGGCTGAAACTGTATATACGAGAAACCCCTATATACGGGTATTTAGGCCTCGAAATTTTTAGGCCCTTATATTTAGGTTTATCTGTATTCGATATTCGATAGCGAGATATTAATAATCTCAATAGATATCTTAGCGTATATTATATATAACTTATACTTTCTTCTATATCTTATCTCTTTCCTACGTATTTCTTAATACTTAATCTAGTAGTTGATCTAGACTCTCTATTCTTAAATTTTTTAGTATACCTATACTATATATCTAAACCCTTATAAATATATTTAATAGCGATTTTTAAAAGAAAGAAATAAAACACTCATATATCGAACTTTGTATTCATTTGATATTATATTTCCTATTTCCTATTTTTCTCAACCTTTAAAATATAATTACTCTCTATATTAATAAAGATTTAGAAATCCATCTTATATTATATTAAATCATTCTATAATCGAATAAGAAGTATTTCTATTATATTACATTTCATTTCTCTGAAAACCCTTATAATAATTGTAATTATAAACGCTAAACATATTAAAATTCGATTATCTTCCTTTCTTTTTTTCAGTATATACTATACTATCGGGCGGGAGTTATAGCAACTAATATATATAATATAAACTTGTCTTCTTCTTCTTCTTCTTCTTCCTCCTCCTCTACAAATAAAAGTACCGATATAGAAAGAGTATACCCAGATATTCTCTAATCGCATCATACCACATCACATCATATTCCCAATTCTTTATATATATATACATACATACATACATACACACAGCATCCCATTTTATACAGTACTTCTATCTCTCCCAAACACAACTAACAACTACCTAACTGATCTAGAGATACACAATCTTCAATCTTGAATTTGCAGAATTGTCTTTCCAATTATCCCATCAACTATCCCATCAACCATTCTATCAACTATCTTTTAATACTCAATTCAACTCAACTCAACTCAACTCAACTCAATTCAACTCAACTCAACTCAAATCAACTCAACTCAACTCAACTCAACTCAACTCAACTCAACTCAACTCAACTCAACTCAACTCAAGTCCTCAGCCAGCTACAGTAGATTCCACTAGATCAAAATACCTACCTACCTACCTACCTACCTACATCCATCCATACCCATACCCATACTTTCCTTACCTACTTCAGCCACTTCATCCATATCTACTAAACTCACAGCTACAAGCCCGGACTAATTCCCATCCGAGCCAACACCATAGGAGACAGCTGGCCCTATACTAATCAGACCATGTGCGTATAAATGTAGTCTTCAGACTATTACCTACCTACCTAGGTAGGTATCGAGACAGATGAAAGCAAGAGTCAAGAATTCCATCTCTTTCCCATACAAAACTGCGTGGTGAATAGTCTACAGCTGAAGCTCTTCGAGGTCTTACAATGGAAACAAAAATGGGAAAGGGAAGTTCGGGAGCTTTCGTTTCCTCGAAAGGACTGATATTCAAACGACTGGGGTTAAAACCCCTTTACTTATCGACTCATTTACTCATTCACCAGAAGTAATCACAGACGCAAATAGAGAAATTCATAATGGACTTAAACATATTCATATGTACTAAGAATTGCCGTTTCCACGAATCCTTCAGATCACTCACTGTAATGAATGATTCTCGTCTAACAACGACTAGATCTAATCATCACTGATCTCTCACCACCTCAAGAATTCACGTAACTCCTCCATCTATAGCTTCATTCCTATTCATCCATCCATCCGTTTGCCCTGCCGCCTTCCCAAATATCCGTCCATCCATATCCATATCCATATGCAAACCCTATCGTAGAAATCAGAGTGAAATAACCTCCCTACAGCGCCATGCAAGATGAGAAATCCAGATCCAGGTATAAGTCCAGATGAAATGACAGATAAAACAAATCAAGACCGGAAAATACCGCCCACCCTTGATTGCCAAGTAGCTACTCCAAACGCAGACGCAGAAAGAGTCCAACCACACTTAATTCCCGATTCCTTAATTAGCAACGCAAAAACGCAGACAAACGCAAAGTAACAAAAACAAGAAAACGTGAAATAGAGACCCTTAATCAAAATAAATATGTACCCAAATATTCATTATCATCAACAAGAGGTCGCGAGGCTTTTCCAGACTCTATCAATATCCTATTGAACCCCCTGAGCAAAATATCAACCTCTTCCACCCCCTTCAACAAAGAAGAACAGAAGTTGACAGCTCAAATTTCATAATGTCGTAAAGTTCATTAAGTCATTATGTGTGTATCCAATACACTATTCTTTACGTATCCAGCCTAAAAGCGTGTGGTAGAACTTCGACCCATCGAAGGTCGGGGTGGTTGGTTCTTGGATGTAGTCCTAGATTGTTGCTGTTGAGTTCCTGAACCAATCTTTGGAAAGCGTTGTGTAATATCGAATCCAGCATAATCCGATAGATCTTCAGTAAGAAACTCAGAGTTGAAGAAATCTTCATGAGGAAGATCAAAATTACAGAGATTCAAGGTTGGTGAATCGAATTTTAGAGGCGAATTATTATTTGGCTTGCATGGAGAGTCCATAAAATTTAAAGCTCCCTTGGTTGGGGAGAGAAACGTTGAAGGTCCACCCAACGCAGGTGTAAGTTTGAGAACCGGTGTGGAGGTGACACTCTTGTTCAAGTTAGAATTAGTCACATCGGACAAAATATTTGCAGATCTCGATCGATCCATGCGAGGTCTCCTAACTGAACGCTTTCCTGGTGATCCATTACTTGATCCAGCGAAGGATGCTGTGGAATCTTGAAAGATATCAAAGTCCGGAACGTAATCGGCAAACATGTAGGAGTTATGGTCAAGATTGAAAGCCGGACTCCATGCACTATCCTCGAGAACAGTTAGACCACGGATTGGAGAGCCAACGAGTTCCCTAACTTTGTCACGATGCATACGGAGGTTTGTGTTTGGAGATATCGATGGCGGTGGTTTCACAGGAGCCTTCAACTTGACAGCAGGAGTCAGAGGAGGCAACATTTGATAGTTGTCATGTGGGTGAGCTCGACGCAATGGAGAGGAGGATGGTGGAACGAATCCACTTAATGACCTGCCTTTGCTAGGGCTATCGTACGAAGAACCACGAAGACGAGCGATTTCCTCCTCAGCTCGGCCGCGCTTAATCCTCGGCCGATCAGCTTCAGATGTTAGCAATCGACTGACGCCATTTGGTCTCATCGCTGAAGATTCAAGTGATGAAAAGTACCCACTATCATCCATGGACGCAAACTTTCGTTTGTGTGATCTAGTCTGTGATGAAGATGGAAAACGTGGAACAGGAGGTGGCGTGTGATTTCGTCTAGGTGCATGGCGAGCTACAGGAGGGGAAGAATGCATCATTCGTGTTGGTGGAGAGGATTGAATGTGTGGAGAGGATGGAGGAGCATCGTCGTCATCGTCGTCCTCCTCTTCCGCACCTTGATTAAATTCCGATGCAGGAATGGTAGCGTCTGAAGATAGCTCGGGGATAGAAGGAAGTTCTTTTTCTGGTAGTTTATACGTTGACTTTGGCAATGATACATCTTGACTAGACGACGGTAAATCCTTAAACATTGGCGTGGGGGGCGTAAGCTCTGGTGGATCGACAGGCGTGAGTGCTGTATTCAATACCGGAAGATTCTCGTTTGGACCTGCAGGTTTTCGTGTAGTCTTCTCCTTGATAAACTGATATTCCATTCCTGATTGAATTGCCCAATAATTGCCCTTCCCTGGATCATCCTTTGGCCGCTCCTGTTTTACGAAAGCCTTGTTGAGACTAAGATTGTGACGAATGCTATTTTGCCAACCAGCGTCTGCTGCATTATAGAAGGTGTAGTTATCGGATATCCACTTATAAATTTGCGCTAGAGTCAGGCGTCGCTTCGGGGCTCTCAAAATCGACATGCCAATCAACTGAGCATAACTATGCGAAGGTTTGAAGCCGTCATCGTGAATAGCTGGAAATGAATCTGGTTCCGGAAGTTCTCGAGGTCCTGATGCGTCATTTCCTTCCTCTGCTTTCGATTTGCCCTGAACCTTGGCTTCCTGAATGGGTGCAGCTTCCATCAACGAACGCTTTAGTGATGGTTTTTGACCATACAGTCCTTCCAAGGAGAAGTTGCTACTCGAGAAATCGTCGCGAAAATGAGATTGTGACTTTGCTGTATACATAGGATGTGGATAATTTTCTTTTCCTTGAGGTTGAGTATTCATGAATGTGGTAAATAGTGCTTTTTGCGGGGCGCCTTTGTACTTGGTTTGAAAGGTTGGTTTTTTCGCAATCGAGTCGGTGTTGTGTCGTGATCCCGCAGGTGGTGGCATCGGGACCATGTTTAATTTATTGCCGAATGGAGCTCTTGAGGGCGAACTCGACATTTGGCTATGCGATTTGAGCGGTGAGTGTTTGCTAGGTCCATTCTGAGGTGGGTTAAAGATGACGTTCCGCTTCGAGCCGTTCTTGATCGTTCTCAAGGGCGACGTCTTTTTTGAAGAATTTTTCGTCGACGGCATGGGCGCGCTGTCATAGGATGTGACGGGATCTTGATATATTTGCAGCGGCTGCTGCGTGTAACGCGACGAAGACATTGTGAGTAGTCGACGACGCGCTGATAAGTCGATATGATCTCTTTCAATCAACGCGTGATCTGATGATGATGTGGTTTTCCTGAATAGGTATCGATATGTGTTAAAAGCTGGAGCATTTGATGTTAGTTAGCCCTATGAAAAATATGTCATTCTTGGAGGGAAAAAAAAGGCACCATGGGATAACGAGGACTATCTAAAGGCATGCATACCGGGAGTGGGTGCTCAGTGTGTGCTGTCCAGGATCGACGACGGATCGGATTGTGGAGCGAGATTACGGTGGATTCCAAGTTTGGAAAAGCGAGGACGCAAGGGAAGGTGGTCTGGATCGCTACCAGTGAAATCAAATTGATTGCGAAAAAGTCCCGTGTGCGGCGGGTGAAGGGGTAGAATCGAAAAATGCGACTGAAGCTTTTGATAATATTGAAAGATGGTGTGGGTAAGTTGAATTGGAGTTGACGATGAGACGAGGTCGTTGCTCTGTGTGGGGATAGATGGTGGAACAACAACGAATAGAAGGAAGAGAACGGAGTCAAGCACAAAGTTGCGGGAAGAAAAAGTAAGGTGATAAAAGAAATGAGTTGCGATGTACGAAGGGCTGAGTGGGGAGAGTAAAAAAGAATGGGAATTGCAACTTGTAAGACGGCGATATGCCGAGCACGAGAAAAAGAAGGTTATGATGTGGAAGCAAGGAAGTGGCCCGAAAGTACCTATGCTATGCCCTTGTTAAGAAAGACCGGCTTGAGCTATGCTTCGATGGTATGGGTACCTGGGTAGTTTGACCTGCAAAGGTCTGTGTGGCACGACCGTGTGATCCTTCTTTCTATCGGTAGCAGAAGTGCTTGATAAGTTGATAGAAGCCAAAGAGGAAAGGTCGAGCTAGATAGGAGATAGCAGATAGGACCTGGGTAGCTAGATAAGGTTGAGACTCGTTCGTTGAAAGCCCTTTTTTGATTTCTTTTGCGATGAATCAAAAGTCTGGAGAAATTGAATCTGGCTGAGGATCTGGCTGAGGATCTGGCTGAGGATCTGGCTGATAATTTCACCTACAAAAGTAAATAACTGATAGAGTTACTCGAGGAGGGACCGTAGGGACAACATGTATGGAAGGAGGGTAGGTAGGGGTAATAAGATTTACTCCAATCGTGGTACAGTATGCAGAGTAAAAGAAAGATCAAGATGGATGTGGCTAGCTAACGATGATATTCACAGAACAACAAGCTTTCTCTTTCTGGATGCATTTGGTGTAACACTGTGGCGAAGGTGCGCGAGAGAGAATGTTTGGTTGTTGTACGTTCTCCCGATGATATGATGAGGATGGTACAGTATACCGAATGATATCGAAGTGATTGTACGGGAGCGAAAAGGTGTGAGGATTGATCTCTGGCTTCTGAGTGGTACTGCGAGGTGTGACCGTAATAGGTTTGATCTGGGATCAACTATCGATTGGATGAGAAGTAGTCTCTCTCTCTCTCTCCTGCACGTCTTCAAAAGTGGTGGTAGTGGTGGTGGTAGTGGTGGTTCAGATGTGGCCAACTGGCCAGGGCGTTTTGAATCTCTGGGGTGTTGGCGCCACGGATGGATAGCAATGAATTTATGAATCTCTTTTATCCAGTCGTAGATTTTTGAGATTTTTAGAATTTTTCAAAGTTGTTGGATTGGATGAAAGTTGATCAAAAGTGGAATTTGGGAGTCAATTCTAGGTAACAATTTCCCTCTCGACGAAGGTTTTTTTGTGGAATATCGGAAGAATGGATTAACACGGTAACTCGAGTAAGGAAGGTCGTTGTTGGTCGCAAGGTTGAATGAAGATCCCTCCAAGTTATGAAGACGATGATGTGATGATGTGAGGATATGAATCTGATGCGGGTGCGGATACAGATGTGGTCAAAGAGGAGGGGAAAATGAGAATGAAGAGGGGGAGGGGGAGGGGAAGAATCGAGGGGATTCGCGACCGAAAAAGAGTGATTGTTTACATTTTCTCACCACGCGATTTAGCGTGTTTTTACCCTTTTCAGGTTCTACTAGGTAGAGAATAGTAAAGACTATACGATATAAAGTAGCTACGAGGAGAGTTTAAAGGAACGGAACGAAAACCTTGAATTGATACTTTTAGTTTTTTTAGTTGTTTTTAGTGTTTTTGTTAGTATTTGCGATATTTAGGTAATTACTTATTTTAGTATCGTATGGTAGACACCGGTAAATACTAAAAACATGCGAACGAGGTGTCAATCTAATTCCCTAACAATAACTTATTTGATATAGATTATAGTAGAGAGGGATTAACTATCTAGTATCTACCAATATCTACTAGCATCTACCAATATCTACTAACATCTGAAAGTATTTCATGCATCTTTGGTTCATCTCATCAATCTCATCAATCTCTTCATTCCCGCGCATAGACTTAGGTACGGACACGGAGGTCAGTAGATTTCTTTCACTTCACCCCCTTCTCCCAGGTTCAATCATGAACATGAAGATGAAGATGAACATGAAGATCTAAAAATATCCAACATGTATTCCTTCGTACGCAGGTACTTTGTAAACTTGGTGACTTCCTTCCTTCCACCACATCCACCACTTTCACCTCAATATAATAATATCAGCTGATTCACCTCAGCATCTCATAACCCCATCCCTTCCCAACCCAATCTAATAACCTTTCAAGAAACCATCTGCACCCCACGGTGACGCGGATTTTCCTCCTTCCCAAGTCCAAATGATGATCCATGATCCATCAAACCATCCTACCCTACTCGTAGATACTCTAATCCTCATCAGGGACCGATACCCAATTCTCACCCAAGTCATCAGCCACAAATTCCACCCCAAACCCAACCTTGAACCCATCCAATTTTAAAATTACATCGAGTACAACACATCGTGACGTGACGTTTCAAAATTCAAGACTAACTCCCCATTTCCATCCACGACCATTCCCCAAGCGTCTAGGTTCATTTTTTGGCTTCAATTCCCTTTCTCCAGCTACCGGTATCTGTGATATCTTCTCCTCACATGCAAATCGATAATTTGAAAGTCTACTCGAGAGTCTATCCAGTGATCCAATGAGCCATCTTTCATTTCATCCCTATCTCCATAGCTAAACGATACGACCCCTCTCAATTAGGGTTGGGAAAAACATATCAAATTATTTAAACATATTCGTTAACAAATTATAATATGTAATATTAGTCAAGAAAAATATATATCGATTTTCCCTATGTATTATGTTTGAAATAGAAATTCTACTAGTTTGATTAGATTTTGATTGGATTATTAGAAAATAATTAAAATTATATATAATATAAATATCTCTTAAATTTATAATAGCTTTTTTAATTACTCATTAAAGAATATCTTCGAATTCACTTTACTTTTATTCATCCTAAGGGTTTAATTGGCTAGAAAAATACATGTATAACCTTAATATAATATTTCATATCGCTCAAAAGACGTAATAATATAGAATTCTATAATCATCCTCTAAATTATATAATTTGCCCAACCCTACTCTCAATACCTACCGGTACAGTACCTCTTCTTCATCCACCTCGTACTGAAGGATCTACCTAGGACATCCATCCTACATTACATTCATATTCATATTCATATTCATATCATAATACGGAGATACATCAATACATCACCAACCCAGAAACCACCATAGCCGAGCACACCAAATACCAAACACCAAACACCCAATCCCAACATCGAATTCGCTGAACTCTCGTAGCGAAAATCCTCGGTCAGCCCGGACCTTACATCCCTACTCCTATCAATATCAATATCAAAATCAATATCAAAATCAAAATCAATATCAAATCCCATCACACTCATCATCCATCATTCCCATTCCCATTCCCATTCCCACCAACCTCTCCCCCCTCCAAAAAAACCCCGAACCCGAAAATAAAATAAAATAACACCGATATAATCATTATGCCTTATACCTTATACTTCCCTCCCTTCCCTACCCATCCACGATCCAACCACTTCCCACCATCTCCCTCTCTATCTCCGAGCTATGCCTAGTACCTATTCCACTCATCATCCCAATCCATCATGATTCATCCATCATCCCTAACCACAAACCCACAAACCCCATCCATCGAACAATCCCAAGTAAGCAAGCCAGCAAAAAAGAAGCAAAAAAGAAGAGAAAAAACTTCCACATAGAAGAATTTTTTCCTTCTAGAAGTATGTGGGACTGATGTATTTGATTCTAATAGTATAGAATAGTGTAGTATATAGATGGATGGATGGGTATCCTAGGATCTATGGTAAATTGTAGATTGGATTGTAGACTTGTATTATAGATTTTGAACATACCTAGATCATACATCATACATCACAAATACAAACAAGCAGAAGTCACCTACCCACCTACCTACCTAATCCTCGATTCAGTCATTCAGTCATTCAGTCATTCAGTCATTCAGTCATTCAGTCATTCAGTCATTCAGTCATTCAGTCATTCAGTCATTCAGTCATTCAGGCATTCAGGCATTCAGGCATTCAGTCATTCAATCATTCAGTCAGTCATTCAATCAATCATTCATCAGAACACACTTGATGAATGTGATTGATTAGAACAGGTATCGAAGTATTTTCATTCATTCATTTTCAAATTCAAATTCTTATCATACAAGTAATTATTTAAACATTCAAACCCTTACCTATTTATATTAATAAATAACAGTCGGGATAATTGGATATCCTCCAATTGCGGCTGATATATACATATACACATGCTGCAATCAAAATCGCGTGGTGCGAATAGAATGATTGAACATCATCGTCATCATCATCATACACTTCATATAGCGTTTCAGAAACATCACACAAGTCTATGTATTACAATTCATGGTGATATAAGAAAATACAACATCACACAAGGTCAATCGTCCAACAGCCTTGAATGTCATTCGACTCTCCTCATCTAGAGGTATTTCAAAAAAGTCAAAAAGTCAAAAGTCCCATTTAAATCAGATCCCGTTTCCCTTACGCCCCCCTATGCTACCTTATCCTGGTTTGAAAATTCCTCAAATGCCGCTCAACATGAACACCGTACTCAACACCGCTGCTCCAAATACCATTGTGTGTGGTATGAAATTAATCCCCCCAATCGACCGATCATGCACAGCACCGGGATAGTTGCACGTAACTTGCCCGCTCTGATTTGCCGTTCGATGTATGCCATAACTTGTATCAAAGCCCGTATCGCCTGGGAGAGGGCATGCGAAACCCATCACTGCCGGACACGCACGAACAATTCCATAGCATAAATCTTCACAGGGCAAGATTTCCTTGTAAGGCCCTGGTTGGACTGTAGTCGTGATGTCTGGATTTCGAGATCCATTTGCAGGCTGTGACGAGCTCGCTATGTCAAGTAGCTCCGGGCTAAGCATTGTCCCATTTGGAAATGGTTGTCCCATACCTCGTTCTTGTAACCACGGAAGATCGGTTGAAAAATCAGTACATCTTGGTATCGTCACCGAACAAAGCCATGTCTTGTACGCTGCATCACAAGACGTGCAGTTTTGAGCAAGAGAATACTGAGCAGATGAGGTAGTATTGCAAGGAATCTGTGCTAAAGCCTTCTTGAAGTACTTATAAGATTGGTAGGTTGAGTTATCGTACCATTCTCCAAGAGCTGTAGTATTTGGAAATGTATTGGGATTTGCTGGGACGGTCCAGGCCACTTGGTCGCAGAACGAGAGATTATACACGAGAGCACAGTTATCGGCTACGTGGAGAGTTAGTTCAATAATCATTCTGCATCTATCAAAACCACATACCTGAAATCGTGGAAAAGGTCATAGCTTTCCAAACCTGTCCACCACCGCCTACTCCCTCGCGCCCAAGAGCAGTTGCATTACCATTCATTGCAAGAATACCATAGTAAGACGTGCCCGCAGTCAACCCATCAAAGTAGAATTGCTGCTTAGGAGCATCATTTTCCCCTCTAGTAGTCATCGACATTTTTATTTTGTCAGTTTTCTGACCGCCATTGATAGTTCCTGCTATTTCGGCCTGCTTCTCCAACCCACAATACGAATTTTGCAAACCTGCCGTGGAAGAGTTGATCGTTTTACTAGCGAACATAGTGAAAGGCGGTGCCAGATTAACCCATTCATCGTATATTGAGCCATTATCCGTGGTGAGATCGTTGGTAACCAGAAGGGCTGATGCACTATCACTATCTACAAGGACGAGATTCTCTTCATCGCTATGGTAATAATGGTAGGGCGCATCAATGGAAGCTGCAATCTCCGCGTTCCATACACCTGTGTAGTTTGAGGTCATATTCAAACCGGTCAAACCGATGAAAACATCTCCAGTAGCATTCAAAGTGACCACTGCAGCGCCGCCTTCCAATTGGTAAGTTTGTTGTAAACTATCATCCTGTCCGGGTCCAGGATTCTTATTCTTCTCAGACTGCGATATGTAGAGTTCCAACTGCGAGGGCGCCACCACATTCGCGCCTATAGCTTCGGGCTGTGTGCAAGTATTGACCGTAATATATAGCGTCCTGGTATTTGAGGAGCTCGATTGTCGAGGCTGCAAAGTGGAATTTTGTCTCCTGTCTTCAGACAGAATCTGCTCCCGATCTTCAACCTCAAATAACGCAGTGTCCAAAGCCTCGAAGCTCTCCTCTTCTTTATTGCATTCGCTCTCAGTATCTCTTTTACGCAACTTAACAGGAGAGGGTAAACCGCTTGCTTGTGGAGAAAGGGCTCCCCATAATGAGGAGTTTAGGAATGTAAACGGGATCGTTTGTCCCTGTTCAACATTTGTCGTTACAGCGCGATTGTTGAGTAATGGAGTGGGATCAGTCGCCGATGCAACCCTACCAATTATGCTCCGATCGAACCCTACAAATTCAGCTTCATATCCTTCGTCCCTTATTTCTATATCCTCCTCTTCACCATCCAGGGCCAACATATTTATATCCATCAACCTTTCGTGATTATGGTCTTCTGGTTGTATCGAATCAACATCGGTGGCGTATGCAAAGTGAGAAGATGAAAAGGTCAGATATAATATCAGTAGCATTATCGATCCCATGAGGGATGCGGCCAGCCGCGATTGCAGCGGACTGAGCTTTGGCAGAGGCATTGCAATGGCGGTATTTGTAAAATGCCCATCGGAAAGTCGCAAATCTTGTCGTTTGAAAGTTTAAGCATCAATCTCTATTCGAGAAGATTCGAGATCAGGCGTCTGGTATTCATAACTGCAGTCAATGGAGTGTTTAAAGAAAGTGATTTGTTCTACGGAAGGTTGTTTGAGATAGTTTTGATGTTTGAGTGAAGTCTCAAGCTCTCGGTCCACCAACTGTACCCTGATGTCTTGGCCAATGATATAGAGTTTTGTTTTTAGGTGATCATCTCCAACTACCCCTCTACGTGGTACTATATTTTATACTATATTTTATAGTTTACAAATTATAGTCCAAGTATGGCAGTTATGGGAATCACGATGGTATACAAAACAAAATACTCAAGGGCCAAGATACAGATTTACCTCTGAGCATTTCGAGGTAATTGTGAAGCACGAATCTTATCAATCTCATCTCCTAATTGTCATATCATATGTACCAACTGAATAAACTAGTCAACGATAATCTCCTCTACCATATACCCCATCAATCTGAACCAAAAATGAATTACGAGAATCTTGGTATGTTTCAGGTCATATCAACAGAGTAACTGAACTATCCCATATATGATAAAAAATTCGTTGCAATGTTCCCCAGCATCATGGTTAGCACTTGCGACTCCACCTTCAACGTCCACGGCTCAAGACACCACCCCCCTATAGCTTGACGCCTACAATCTTCATCTGTGGCTTTACGCATGTTCCCACTATTCCGCCCATATATTGCTTAGGTGAATGAATACGGCAGCACGATAGTGGTACACGCTTGTTAGTCCATTACAAGGACTTGTCTGCGCTGGCGCTGACCTTGGAAGCTCCAGAGAAGTATCTGGAGAAGACTGGTGAAATGAAGGAGCGGAATACGATTTGGGCACCGCTATTACAGATTATTAGTGATGTTCTAAGGAGAGACGATTGGGCCCATGTAGCTCTTACCTGGTGATTGGGAGTGCGAGCCACAAAACAAGGATGAACTTGAAGGTGTAGTAGAATGGGAACCAGTAGACAACGGTGAACACGCTCTCAAACACAGTCAAAAAAGCAAAGACAACCCAGTACTGAATATACATATTAGCAATGGCAATTGAACATCAATTTCGAGTTATTTACCGTGAGCCATTGAGTGTCGTCCGCTTTTCCGGCGCTGAACAAAGCATCCAAAGAGTAGTACCCTGGAAGAACAAATCCCGCAAGGTTGGTAAGAAGCTGACCTCCGATGTTGAAGAAGATGAAAAAGAAGTAGAATGCAATGACACCCAAGAAAGCGTAGACCTTGGGAACGTTGCTTTGCTTCTCGAGGTTGATCAAGGTTGGGTACTTGGAGAGCTGAGGCCAGAGTTAGTCAAAAAGTTCATACATCAACGCCCTTCCGGCACATCAGTCGTAGCCAGAATCGACTCATTGTTCGATATCCAAGTCCGGAGTATGCGGGAACTTACTTCCTTATCAATTTGGGCGATGGTTCCCTGAACTTTGTCTTGGAACGACATTTTGGAAGATGTGTGCTACGAAGGGTTTCTGAGGATTGTTGAGATGTATGCGGCTTCTGCGAGTGCAAATTTCGAGGACCTTGTTGTTATTTGTGTTGTGGGACAACTTTTGAGGAAAGAGAATGGTTGGGCAAAAAGTGTTCCTTTGTTCTGACGCTACCTACTTCGCTACTGTGCTACTATGAAATGACGAACTGGCCGGAAAAGCTTGGGTAATTTTGACAACCGATCAGAGGAGCGGGGGTCAACATCATCTCTTTTCCAACCAAACACAAAGAGTAATAAATTGATTCAAATCACGGAATTTCTGAAAGCATTCAAACAATTATATACTACTCGTTACAAAGGGGTTTACATGTATTTCAAAGGATTTACTCGAGTTCATCTGTTACCGTATGAAGGTCTTGAAAGTTCTTATCTTCTTCGTCTTTCGAGTACGGAAGTTGGTAGAATGCTTCGGAGGAATGTGGAATCGACTTGCCCCACGATTAGGGTTTTATATTTTGTCTCGTGTTATTGGTAGACACTGGTCGGGAAGATTTGGATGTGCCAACTGTACAATCAATACTTGACCCTCTCTTCTTGGAGAAGAAACGTCGCATCCAAATAGGTGCATCTCGTAAGCTCGGTGTCCGGGATGGATGAACATTTAGGAATTCTACAAGTGGCTAGTCTGCAAGTTGTCAGTGTTCATCATGCTCAAATATATCGTGCCTGGTCTAAAACATACTTCGTACAGATCTAAAAAATGAACAGGTGTTGTGTAGATATGTACATATACTTCATAATCATTCATTTCGCCAGCTATGTTCTTTGACAATGCAAGCGACGAATCAACGTCGACTTATATCATAGGGAGACAATGACTTGTAGATAGCTAGCCGTGGGTAACAAGACAAACCAGCATTCTTCATCCGCAAGATGCCAATGGTCCGGACTGTCAGACTGGATAGCAACCTCTAATGTTTACAAGGAGTTCGGTATTCCACTTCAAATCAACATTTCCAAACCATGTGAATGCTCAAACTATGTCGGAATCTTCAAGCTTCTTATCATCGGATTGCAGCCCAGACTGTTGGATTGCTCTTCTTCTAGACACCTGTCGATCAACAACAAGACATAGGTAATAACACCACCTTCTTCTAATGAGTAGAATAGATTGGTATGTAAATCTTTTAGAAATGGGAGAAGACATAGGTAGATATCACACATAGATTAGAATATGAGAACAGAATATCTATATTTGAGCATTGGAAATATATATATATATACATCAGAGAAGGGGGAGGCTGCTACAGTACAAGTTGTTCAGAGACGTCTATGAGCATTCAGATGCTACCATACATATCTACCTTGAACGCACACCCATATCCAACTCGCAATAAAGAATTTGTAACGTATATGATATCCATTAATCAGTTAGTGGGCGAGGTTGTTCTTACATCTCAATCTACTTTCTACTCTTCTTCATGAGTTCTCACATTGGGGCATCCGCGAACGCTTCTCCGTCTCTGTCGTACGTACTCCAACCAGATGGAAGCTGATGAAAGTCTGTCACACAATCCTGTAACAATTTTGACAAGTCTTAAATAATACAAGATGCATCCCTATTATTACTTTCATTCAAGACATTTTTCATGACTTTGCATGAGTTAGCAAAGAAAAGTCGAGTCTCCGAGTTCACCGCCAACACAATGGAAATTAAGATTTGAAAGAATGCGAACAGATTACAGTCCGTATATAAATAATGCAAAATGATAAAATTCATGCTGTCAGAAAAAGTGTCCGTACCGCTCCCATACCTACCTACTTTTGCCCATCCGAAGTGAGAAATGAAAGTCTCACCACTTCTTACCTCTCAACCTCAGAAATGATGTTTGTTTTGTTGTGAATCCTCCAATCATCAATAATCATTGTACTAATCCTAATTCGGCCTGGGTTCTGCTTCCCCGTTAACCGGAATATCTCAAGACCTCGTAAACAATTGGAATCAACCTCTCAAAAAACATATCACGACAAAGGACGACAACGGCAACGACTTGCTCTCCTTTCAATCGGTAAGTATCCATATCGCAGGATCGGATTGGCATCAGAGCATTAGAAGTTCCATAAAAGACCAGAATCAAGTCGAGAAAGGGTACAAATCTCAGAATAAACAAAGCCCCAGCCACTTTTTCCGACCATTTTCTCCGACTCCACGAACAACAACCTCGCATGAAAATTATGGGTAAGTGATGATTCTCTTCTCTACACATGACGCGCTACAATGCGCGAAATCTTCCAATGTGTGTCTATATTCTAACTTCTTTGGAACATTGAAGATCAACAACCACCCGGAGAAAAAAATCCTGTTAAACGATCGAGATCTAATACTTCCATGTCCGCTAAACCTCGTAAACGTCCTCAATCTCGAGCTTCCACAACGAGTGTTCATAGCGGACTTGCGCAACCGGTCCTGGAGCAGCAATATATGGATCCGGCGCAGTGGTATGATAACAACTCCAATCCACAACACAACAACATTCCGCAATTGTCAGCCGAAGACATGGTTATGCATAGTGCTTCGCAGCTACAAAATCCCCGATCTTTTGACATGGAGCATTCTCTCAATGGCGTCTCGAATCACAGCATACAATCGTATCATTCGGAGGTGCAATATAGGCCTGAAAATGGACGCCAATCTATACCAATGGATAACTATGCTCAAAATTATGGAGAGGGGGATAGCCAAGTTCTAGAAGGTCGCAGTGATGAGCAAGACGAGGTGGATTCCATAATCGGTGCAACTGGAGCGACAAAGAAAACCTCGAGATCAAGCGCTGCCAATGAGTTGGAAATGAGACAGTTATTTCACGCGAACAAACACCGCTCCTTACAAGACATTGCTGCGGAACTTCTCTTGAATGAAAGAGGACCACAATCGGAAAGACAGAGACAAGTATTTGCTATGCTCTGGTAGGTGCATCATATGATGAAGTTTTGAATCATGTTAACAGAGCCCTTTTAGGATCAACAAAGTCTGTGATAAAGGTACGGGGTCTGTACCGAGAGGTCGTGTTTACGCAAATTACGTTTCGAGATGCGGTACAGAAAAGGTAACAGTATTGAATCCGGCATCTTTTGGAAAACTTGTTCGTGTACTTTTTCCAGGATTAAAGACTCGGCGGCTTGGTGTGCGCGGTGAATCTAAATATCACTACGTGAATTTCAGTCTCAGGGATGACCAGCCACAACTGCACGAGACTCAGACTCATCAACCTATTACAAACTTTAACGATGCAAATTTTGCTCAAAGTTTCAAGTATATCAATCTCTACCCTCTGTATTCACTCATCGCTAATTGGTCAGTCAAAGTATGACATCGCAAATTCAATACCCGGACGTTAAATACCCAATTGATCGAGCTCCATTTCCATCTCCCGCAATTGCTCAAGAACCTGAACAACGCAAACAACGATCGGGAGGATTCAT